AATATGAGCTGGCAGTGCGGTGCTGTAGCCAGTAGGGCAAATAATACTCTGGCATGCATCAATCGGTGCATCTCCAGAAAAACCAAAGAGGTGATTCTTCTGCTTTGCTCAGCACTGGTGAGACTATAGCTGGAGGACTGTGTCCAGTTTTGGGCACCACGCTTCAAGAAGGACGTGGAAAAGCTTGAGAGAGTCCAAAGAAGAGCCACCCGTATGATCAGAGTCTTAAAAGGCAAGCCATACGTGGAAAGGCCGAGGGATCTGGGACTCCAGCCTGAGGAAAAGAAGGCTGAGAGGGGACCTGGTGGCAGCTTACCACTACACTGGGGAAGTACATCAAGGGCTTGGTGAGCAACTGTTCACCAGGGCACCCGAGGGAAAAACCAGAAGTAATAGCCACAAATTCCTGGAAGTCTGATTCAGGCTCAACATTAGGAAAAACTTCTTCACAGTTAAGGTGTCCAGACTGTGGAATAATCGCCCTCCAGAGGTAGTGAAATCACCTACCCTGGAAATCTTCAAGAGGAGACTGAGAAGTCACCTTGCTGGGGTCACCTGACCCCAGTTGTCTTTCCTGCTTGGTGCAGGGGGCTGGACCCAATGATCTTCCGATGTCCCTTCCAGCCTTACAATCTATGAATCTGATACCCCAGATAACCTCTCTACTATTTACCAGCTGTATCTTATCACTAGGTCTACATTCCCCTTCCCCCCACACCTGTTTCTTACCCACTGACTACCTCAATTTGCATTTTCACTGACTGGTATTTTTGCATACTGGCCTCTATCTTCTGTTCTACAGGTTTCCCTTGCATTATGCAGGTTCTGTATGCGCGAATTTGCTTTTATGCAATGACTCTTTTTATACCAAAAAAATCGTTATATGTGTGGTCAATTCACTCTTATGCGATCGGTGTGGTGGAAGCCCACAGTCAGCTGCTTTGTACAGTGCATTGTGGGAGTAAGGAACACCAAAATATAGTCTCCTGTGCAGATCTGTGCTCCTTCCTCGTTGTTTGTGACACGTGTTTCTGTAGTTGCCATCCCCACAGTCACCACCCCGCTGTGCTTGTGTGTACTGCCTGCTGTTGGTGGGTACCAGAATTGCCTTGTACAAGTGGTAGAAATAGGTCTGGGGGTGAGTACAGTCAAGGTCTTGGAACATATCCCTATTTGTTATATTGTAAAACGTGTTCCCTTTATATGAATTTGAATTATAGCCATTTTCCAGGAACACGTACCGGATAAAGCGAGGGAAACCTATCCCATTTAGGAAGAGCACAGAACAACTGCAGATGCTCCCTCAGCCTGAAGAAGGGTGCTTGTACCCAAAAGCTTGCAAAGAAGAATTTTTCCAACTATTTTAGTTGGTCTAAGAAAAGATTCACCCAAAGAACCTATCTGCCTCTGGAATGGAGAAAGAGTTTGTAATGCCCTGCAATTCATAGATCAGATCTCCTGACTTTTTGGCTTTAATCATATGCTGATTGGTTAAATTTATATGACTTAGGCATCATAGCTGCTTCCCATCTGCTTCTGGATGTCATTTAGGATAGTTCGGTAAAGAGTTATACAGTGTAGAAACTGATTATACAGGAGACTTTGTCCCTACATACTTTTCAGACAATTTAGATCAGCTGGGCCTCTCTACAATTAACTGCCCCTGGAGGATAAGTGAAGCATTTTCGGTGGAGCATCCTAATAGCAATATGAGCCTGTGGACTCTTATTGTTATCAGATGGTATTTTATAAATAATTATAGTTAACATATACTTACTGCCAACACATCCCCCACCCATCAGCAAAAGCATCACAAGGGACATTGCTAGTAGAGACAGAATCAAGTTAACCATTTGCGGTTCTGATTGTCATATTGATATTGAAGACTAGCTTTTTATGGGATAATCACAGCTCATCTCAGTCTTAACTTTCTGCTCCAGGCCTGTCATTATCAAGTTATAAAGAACATCAATAAGGTTTTCTATAAGGATCTACTGTTGTATGGTCCTGATTAAAATTCCACTTGTAAAGCCTAGGAAACAATTTATGTTAACTGATGGGCGAGGCCCTGCAGCTCAATCACAAGAAAAAATATTCCTGTTAACTTGTGTCTCGCTCCTGAAGAATACAATGCAGTTATTGTTTGTCTCCTTTCATGGCCAAACAGTTCAAATGAATAAGAGGATGTTCCCTCACTGCATGTGACTGGCAAAATATCAATGTGTATGCAAAGTAGTTACTTTGCTGTATGCTTCTGGAGATGGTCCTATGTGCACACAATCTCAGCATCCATCAGATGGACTGAATGAAAATATTCTAGTTTCATATTCTGAAAATAAAAGGGAGAAAAGATTATTTTTACAGTGCTTGAACATTTCAACTAAGTCCTTTATGACATAAATATAAATGATGCAACTGATTACCTTGCCTTCGCTATCCCAATAAAGAACCTTCTCCATCACTTTTGAGCGAGCATTCAACAATGAATGCAAACTTGCTAGGGTCATTTTTGCTTTTTCCAATATCTGTAGATTCACGAGGAAAAAAGGAAGATTCTCTGCACTGGGAAGGATACAATGCTCCCAAATTTTTTTCTGGGAGCAAACTAATACTAGAAGCTTCTTTTAAATGCCTTCTGATGACATGAACTAATAGAAAACTTCTCAAAGGAAGTGCTGAAAAATAAGCAGGCAATGCCAAGGATACTGCGGACAGCAGCATCCAACAGGTAACCAACAAATAAGGGATTTGGTTAGAAGTTGAAGCATAAGATGGGGAGGTGGAAACTTAAACACGATTTCTGTGACCTATGGTTATTTTTTAAACCTCTGTGCCTCAGTTTACCCTCTGAAATTGGGTGAGAGAATTCATTCACAGGGCTGTTGTGAGACGTGTTAATTCACTTGCATCAAGCCTCCTCTCAATTCCATGCTTGAGCCAAAGCTTCCAATAGTTCCCATCAGACCCTTGCACATTTCCTAGTATTTTCCAATCTTACAGGTTGGAAAGCAAAGCATGATTCACCCTACTCCAGCCTACTCCACCTATTTTCATATGCTTTCTAGTTTATTCTCTAAAAGTCTACTGTGCATTGCACCTGTGGCAAATCTCCCACTGAAATCGGGAAGCTGCCAAATCAGCAATTTAAAGAGTTTATTTGTTCAGTGGGGTTCTCCAGACTCGCCGGAAAAAGGAGCACGACAGGCAAACTTCCATTGCCAGGTTTCATCTTTACAAAAAGGAAGCTAAGAGAGGAAGGAAGGCCTAAGAGTGCAAAGTTAACAATAAAAAACTTTCCTGCCAGGCTGGTAATTCTAGCCACTGACACTTATAGAAGGACAATGGATGAATGTGTTTCTTGAAAATGGATCAAAAGAATAGGTCATTTATTTACTCCCTTGGCATATTGTTAGTAGTAACTGTTAAAACAGACAAACCAGCCTCAGAATAATGTATATGTTTTGTTTTACCTTTTGGTTAACATTTCAAAAATTGGGTCTCTCCCAATCCTGTAGTCTTTACTCAAGTAAATAACATTGCTTCCTACAAACAAAACTACTTCTGTACTTTAGATTACAGGATCAGGACCCCAGTTCGTAGGTGGCTTGCTAAAAACCTAGAAATCCAAACAGGCTTTTATTTATGTGGACGTCTTTTTCATCATATCAGAATTCTTTGTTTCAGTGGGTATCAGCACAGGAGCCATGTGATTAGTATCTACAGCCCTTGTAAATTCATGTAAAAATTGGTAGTGACAAGGTTATGAGGGTATGTTGTAATGTGGCAAAAGAGAGCCCTTCTTTGCTCTCCATGTCTGTTGTGCAAACAGTTGAGGGTCACTGCTATGGATCCATGTATCCTTAGGCCAGTAGGAACCATTTTGATCTGCTTTGACATCCTGCAATAACAGTTTAGCGAATTCACTAAGTAGTTCCTACCTCAAGTCTAGTAATTTGTTGTTGAAGTCATCAATATCTTTCAGAAAAATATGCAATCTCGATGCTTGTTCCTTTAGAAGTAATAGTAGGACAAACCAAAAAAAAAGCCATTTTAATTTTGGATAAGTGTGTTCACACAGGGGTTTCAAGTGGTCTGAATAATTCACTTTTAATTAAATAAGATACAATGTTCCAGACAGACAATCCCTTAATGTAGAGAGTTCATGTGCTGTTGAATCTACCGCATTCCTTAGAAGACATTCCAATAATTAAATACCCTCTGTTTATTAGCATCATCACAATCATCATCAGGATTAAACAAAATACTAGTTTAAATCTGCCTATTTCAGCTCCCAGTGATTAGATCTCAATAGGTTCCTGGAAGGTACTAAGCTGTCCATTTCAGACTGATCTCACAAATGCTATATTAAAGTAGTTCATGAGCGTCTCCGTAACATTCCACAAAATGATTTTGGTTGTATGTTTTAGATGATTAGTGTCCCTGAGATATAGCTTTTCTACAAAAATTAGCTGAATTGCTGTGCTTGCACCCAATCATAATGTTCATATTTCTACATTTGGAACTTGCTGCCTAGAAAACACAAAAATATGCAAACCAGGTGTCAAATGTTTAGCAAACCTAAAAGCCACATTCCAGACTGCTCTCAAGAAGAGATTAAACTTTTTGCACTCATCTTTGTCTACCATTCTTTACCACTATTCTTTGTATATTGTTCTTTCAGGGCAAAATCTGGCTTCGATACAACAGGTCACCATTGCTGGACTGGATTTTTAATGGAAACACTGGACTTCAAAACTACTGCCAGTGTTACCTGTATCTATATCAGTCCTTCAGCAGGAGCCATCAGTGAAAGGGTTAAGCAAGCAAAGAGAAATTTGCCAGAAGAAAACCTCACCTGCTTGTACACTTGCACATGCCTTAATTCCTGACAATGTTCCCTAAAGCAAGAGAAAGTATTCTTTTATTATTTATCCTACTTTATTAATAAAAAGTAGGCTAAAAGTCTGAGATGCTGTTGAACTGATGCGGGTTGTGAAGGATGTAATCAACACAACGGGAAATCTTTCCCTTGCAGAGAAAAAGGGCGTTGCTGTATTGTCTGCAGTGTTATGTGCTAAGAGAAGGCAAGGTTCAGCCTCCAGGGGGAGGAAGCTGGAAGGACCTGGCACAGTATGCAGTCTTGCTTGAAAATAAACCAGAAGCATGCTCAGAAAGTGTATTTTATTTTGTAAAGTGTTTCTGCTCCATCTCCTTTTTTATTCCACTTATTATCATTGTCCTTCCCATACTAGAAAAAAGCCCTCTTCCGAAACTCCCCACCTCCACTGAGACACCCTTCCAATCAAAAGATAACCCTTGCTAAACATCTTTTTCATGTTTGGCCCTCTAACCATCACCAAGGTATCCAGAATTTGGTCTGTCATTTCTTTTACTTGTTTGCAGACTCAGTAGGAGCACCATATACTCCCATTTGGAAGGTCAACTTTGCAACCATAAGGGATAGGATACTACCTTTTTAAGAAATATGTGGGCAGCAGAGAAGTAGTTGTTTCATTCACAGACTCATAGCTTGGTAGAACAAAAGGGAATACCATGATTATCTTCTCCAAATCCCTATGCAACACAAACCATATTATTTCATCCAGTAAATCTCATACCAAGTCCATAACTGCTGATCCCAGAGAGCAGAAAAGGTCTTTTTTGTACCACCAACACCCATGCACACAGAGTCCAATAACCAAGTATTCTTCAGACTTTAGCGTACTATTATTTATCCTACTTTTATTCAGAATTATGCAATGATAATTATCTAACATAATTATAAAAATAATGAGAGCTGTAAGCTTGAACATCCAAAATCTGGATCCAGGATTAGAGGATAATGGTGGAATGGAGATATCCTTTGGAGTCATCATCACATGTGGAGCAAGTAAAATGTGGGCAGCAAGACCTTAATATTTTATATGTTCCCCAGAATGATTAGTTAGATTTGATAAAGTGATTAAATACTATAATAGGTCTATTGGCTTGTTAGTGGGCACAGCTAGCCTCGCTAGTGTAACATCTGGCCAGTAGAGGGCACTACAATCCCTCCAGCTCTGAAACAGAAAGCTGCCAGAGGTTGGAGGAGACTTGGGTTAGGAGACAGCCGGAGGCTGTGGAGCATTAGCAGACCTTGTACTTAAATGAAAGGAGAAGTCTGGGCATCTTGGGAATAGGGACTGAAAAAGCTAAGAGCCAGGTTGAGAGTGGCTGGCCTCTGAGAAGGACCAGCCATAACAAGCAGCTACTCAAGAATGGCTTAGATATTGGGGAGCCATGCAAATGGGTCTGAACAAGACAGACAGAAGGTCTGGACTTTGGTCAAGGGGTCGAGAGGCCAGCATGCAATTGTATGCAGGAGAGAGATAGCCTGAAGCAAATATCCCTGACACAACTCAGGGAGGCCTACCTTCATATTCCTGTGCTGTATTATCTTTAGGGGCTAGGTTAGGAACTGTTGGCCCATCTTTTTAACTTTAAAAAGACTGAACTGTGTATTTCTTGAAGCCCTAATACAAAGCAACCCTCATTACTGAGGCTGTAATGCTTACGGGATCCCACCAAGGGGCACTGCTCAAAGGCACAATCATAGGAGTAACTCTGAATGGGTGGCGTACAGTCTACTAGCCAACAGCAAAGGGACTGGCATCCCCCTGCACACACAGCCACACTTTACAATGGCTTTAGGTACAATGTTATAATTTCATTTTTCAGATGAAGAAACTAAGGCTAGGAAAGGTGCAGGCAGTGTCAGTCGCATTTGCTAACAATTAGCTCTGTAGTTTAGCCATGATGGCTCAGGAAGTAACCAGGAGGCAAGGATTTTTTGTGATCTGTTTTACTGGACCAACTGTATAGTTGGGAGAGCTGTTGGACAAGCTTTCAGGCATCAGATGCCCTTCTTCAGGTCAAGTCCCTGCCTCTCCATAGTTTTCGTTTAGATTTGTAGGGTTGTTGGTTGTAGCCTTGCTTGTCTAAGGACATAGGCAGGCGAGGTTCTACCCAAATAACCTTGTCTTCATTTAGATTTAGAATTTAAAAGGCATCTAAAGGCACCCAAAACCCCTGGAATTTAAATGGGTCTCCCTCCTGTAGGAAACTTTGAAAATCCCAGAGTTGAACATTTAGAGTCTGAAATGCTCTTTATGCTTTTTAATGTGATCAATATGAATTTAGAGCAGTTTAGAACAGGATGCCATCTGAAACCCTCAGGCTAGGGACAGAAATTACACACAAACTGGTATATGTGATCAGAAACCCGTTCAAATTTGTAACACAATAGGAGTTCAGTGTACATAATGACCAAAGCCAGTTTAAGATAAACCTGGATGGATGTAGTATCAAACTTAACTGATTTAGGTTAAATTGGTTTATTGAACTTCTGCCCCAGATCCCCTCCAGATTCAATTAACTCAGTCCCCCAGCATCCCAGGATGCTTTGCACCTTCTCCACAAGCTTCCCCCTCCCCCCTGCCCACAGGGTGGGCAGGATAGCCTTGGCCCAAACTGTCTGCTTCAGCTGATAGAGAGGTGTGCTGTAGTATCCCCACGCTTCTGGCCTGGACCACTGCAGGCATGTGGCTACATTTCTGGAATCACAAGTGAATGTCTGTTCACTTGCTTATTGGTTCAATCTATGCAGCTTAGACTAACCAGCAAAGATTAAATGCATTCAGCCTCGGGCTTTTTGACTGTCTGCACTTAGCCTTGGTCACCACAAGAATATATCAAACCTGAGATCACATCTATTTGAGATATTACAAACTTGGATCAACTTAAAACGTGATTGTGTGTCAAATCCTAGAATCTATAGCTATTAAATGTTCTTAATTTTAAGAGTATTTAATTTGTTTTCTCCAAACTTAACCTGCCTTATAGATCTCTAATTAATACTTAAAAATCATAACAAGTATAGGGCCCTAATTCAGTAATGTATGTGATGAACAGGGAAGCTTCTGCACTGGTATCTGACAATACATTCTCCTATTTCAGCCTGAATACTGCTCGTTGTACTGTATGAAATTTCCTAATACCTGAATACTTGATTTCCCCAAATCATGGTATTGTTAATTATTTTTGCATAGAACCATGAATATAGTGGAATTAACTCTGAAATCATTATACCTTCATAAATCCCAAAGTTATAATGTAATTAAAAAAGCATACCGGACTGTGTAAATCAAATGGAAATATGTACCTGCAAAAATGTCCACCTACTACTAACATTCTGGAGTTACACCAAGGATGAACAGGAGTCTGCTCATTTCTCCAAGTCACAAATCCTAAACAGTATTTACCCCATTTTCTGGAATTGCATCTCACTGTTGTTGCCTTTGCATTTAAACAATAAGTCCCTGTGCAGAGCTTTGTCTCTTTACCTTTATACTCATGCACTATCAGAGTTTTAAACAGACATTTTATTTTCTATTCTGTGTTCGCCTGTTACTATTTTTAGCAGCTAATAATTAACACTCTAGAGAGCATGATGTCACTGTACTTTGTGCTTATGTAGCTCTAGAAAGTCAAAACCAGACAGAGGCAGCTGTCACCATAATGGGGTAGCTCATTACCACAGTGTAAGGGAGCGACAGTGCTATAGCCAAGTTCAAAAAACCGTATTAGAGGAGGATCTCTGAAATTCTAAATAACTCATGATAATCTTGGCATTCTATTCTCTTCTTTTTTCAAATGACCTGCAATCAAGTTTTGGAAAAAAAATTAAGATGGCTTGTAAGGCTGCTGAATAAAAATATGTTACCAATTACCCTTTTGTGTGTTCACTGTCTTACGTGAAATTAGCTCTCATTGCTGTTCAATTTCCATGGGACAAGTTAGTATCCACATCACAAAATAAACCTACAATAATCATCGCTGGCTGTCAGCTTTGTCGGCAGTGTCAGCAGGCCAAGAACGGCATAAACGTTAGAGGCTGTTCTATACTTACACCTGCAGAAGCAGAGTTCCTTCAGTGCATTGTTCAAGCAGTAGAGCAGGGGGTGTCAAACCCGCTAGGCACCCTGGGCCAGAACTGGATGATGGGGCTCCTCACAGGCTGCAGTCCAGACCCACCTCCAGCAGCAGGGCGAGCAGTGGCTGTGTTAACTACTGCAGATTCCCTAGCCATGAGGATTAAAGCACCTGTTGCTTACCCCTCCACTGCTGACATCCCCAGCAGGGCTCTGCATACTGGAATTCAGTGGTGGGCCCCACTTCTGAATCCACATCACAATTCCTGGCCCCTCTGAGAACCTCGCAAACTGTATCTTTGACACCTCTGCACTGGAGCAGGGGGACTGGTGTGTATGTGTGTGCGTACGCTAGCTTTCTTATATTCTATGGGCACGTCTATACAAGACA